TATAATATATATAATATATAATATAATATATATATATAAGCACTAAGTACCCCCAACTCCACACACTCCCCCATTCTTGCATGGTTGCCGTGAAGCGAAGAGGGAGAGGGAGGGGAAGAGGAGAGAGGATGAGAGAGAAACGCAAAATTTTGGTTATTTTCGTCTGTTGTTGTTAGTTAGAATTTTTTTTTTGATCTTGTAAGTATCTCTCTACAAGTAGACTCGACTCGTCGGCTCGACGAGCAGCTCGTTGGCGGAGCTCATGGGCGGGAAATCCAAATATCGCGAGCTGAAAATCCAAAACAACGGCACAAGCGGATCTCGTTTCTCGACGGCAGACGAGCTCGGGACAAAGGCCGGATGCGACTGATCTCGATCTTGACGGCAGAGCTCATCCATTGGTCGTCGGATATCGGGACGACGACATCCATTGCTCGAAGATCTCGGGACGACGACATCCATTGCTCGAAGATCTCGGGACGACGACATCCATTGCTCGAAGATCTCGGGACGACGACATCCATTGCTCGAAGATCTCGGGACGACGACATCCATTGCTCGAAGATCTCGGGACGACGACATCCATTGCTCGAAGATCTCGGGACGACGACATCCATTGCTCGAAGATCTCGGGACGACGACATCCATTGCTCGACAATCTTGGGACGACGACATCCATTGCTCGACGATCTCGGGACGACGAAGCTCTGCAACACGTCGGATGAGCTCCGCCAACGAGCTGATTTCGGACGGGCGACGACGGAGGGCGCGACGACGGAGGGCGTGATGACGGTGGGCAGAACCGTGGATGAAGTCAGAACTGAGGTCTCGAGACGACGGGCCGCCCGTCACGGGCGCGATGACGGGCTCGATAGCGAGCTCGACGAGCCGCTCGATTTGACGATGAGTCGAGCTCGAGCTTGGATTTTGAACTTGACTCGAGTTCAAGCTCGGGTTTTGGTTGTCAAGCTCGACTCGAACTAAGTAGAATTAAGTTATATATAGAGTGTATGTGTGCGAATTATAATAGAATTAAGTTAATATGTAAAATCTTAAAATTATACAAGAGAGTAATTGAGAGGTTTGATGGAGAAATATAGAGAGAATAAGGAGGATATACATATGATATCTATTGATTTAGAGAAAAAAACATATGATAAAGCTCTAAGAGGAGTGCTTTGAAGAGTTTTAAAGAAGAAAATAAATAATAATGTTTATATTCAAGTTATTAAGGATTTGTATGCAAGAGATGTTACTCATTTTCAAACACAAGGTGGTTTGACCTAGTATTTTCTTATTTCTGTTGGATTACATCAAAGATTAGCTTTAAACCTTTATCTTTTTTCTTTTGTCATGGATGCTTTTACTAGACATTTGCAAGAACATGTACCCTGGTGTTGCTTTTTGCAGATGATATTCTTCTTGTTGATAAAATGAGAGAGAGAGAGAGAGAGAGAGAGAGAGAGTTGATGTAAAGCTTGAGTTATGGAGGTTAACTATATAGTTTAAATGTTTTCATTTGAGTAGATCTAAAATCGAATAAATGGAGTGCAATTTTAACAGTAATAGAATATTTGCCATTAAAAGAGAAGCATGAAAATAAGTTAATTATTATAGAGATAAGGATGTGTGAATGAGTGGCTTTACACTTAGATGGAATTCAAAACAAATATACGTGAAAATATTGGAGTAGCTCCAGTAGCAAATAAGATTATTTTGAGAGTAACCTTTGATAGTTTGGTCACATAAAATGTTGCCCTTCTGATGATTTTGTTGGGAGAGTATATGCATTAAATCCAACCTATTTTAAGAAAGATAGAGCTAGACATAAACAAACTTGGTTAGAAAATTTTAAAAATGAAAATTTTTTATTAGTTTTAAATGAGAATTTGCCTATTAATAAAACAATGGAGAAAAAAAGATTCATGTAGCGATACCTTCCCACGAGGTGGGATAAAGGCTTATTGTTGTTGTAAAATGTTATTTCTCCATATAGACATTATCATTGTATGATCTGACAGCGTGCAATTTTATTAACATTTCTTTATTTTAGGATTTAGTTATGGCTTATTTTTATTAATCTTTAGGGCACATATTAATCTTTAGCATTTTATTATTTGCCTATTATGCACACAATATATGTATGATTTGCATGAGGATATTCCAAAAAAAAAAAGCGATTAAGTATGAAAATTAGAAGGCTTTTTGTTGATGTGAACAAGAGGTATATGAAAATAAAATGTGGTGATAATGTGCCTAAATCTTGAACTGTTTTCATCTGAAACCTTTAATAAATTGAATGCATGAAGGCATGTCCTTTAAAAGTTGTGCAACACATTTTATCTAATGCTTACAAAATGGAAATTCCAAGAAACTTTAGTATTAATCTGATGATCAAAGTGTCTAATTTGATCTTATTTCACGAGTCTATTGTGATTTAATTATGCAGATTTTGCTCTCTTTTCCATTTTCATTTATACCTTGTGAGTCGATATCCATTACGTTGCTTGATATTTCTTTTCAACTTATTGGAAGACTACTTCGGATGATGATACTCTGCCTATTACTGATAGTAGATACGAGAGCTATTTTGATATTTTGAATCTGTTTGTGATGATTCACAAAGTACTTAATAAGAACCCGTCTAGCGGTTAGATCGCCAATTTGAAGCGGGCTGCTCTGGTTTCCTGCAGAGCCAGTTAAGACAAAGGATCGAACCTACCGGCTGGCCGGTTCCTGGTTCAATCGGTTGAACTAGTCGGTCCGATTCGATTTTTAAAACATTGGTGGATTTCTTATTCCTCTATTGATAAAAAAAGAAAAAATTAATTGTATATGTTGGTTTATGCCTTAATCATAGTTTTGTTTTATTAGATTATATAATAATATTTAAACTTTACACTTCACAAATATAACCTAGTTTTTCCCATACATTTTTGCTATTTCAGTTTTCTTAGATCCTCAAACCTCTACAAGCTTTATAAATCAAGGGTTGATTCAAGATGACGCATGTGGGAGCTCATGTTTCCCACATCAAACATTCAGTTTGTGCCCTCTAAAAACCAATTTATGTGCCCCATTAAGAATAGCTCCACCATATTAAAAAACCATTTGCAAATTTACATAAATATTAGAAAAATCTGCATTTCTAACACCGAAATATTTATATTTATTTATATAATATTCAAATATCTAATTTATATTAAAAAATATCACTAATATTAACTTTTCTAACGGATAAAATATCTTTTCTTACCTATTTTTTATGAGATTTAAACACCGTGGTGTTATATAAGTAACTATAAAGATGTAAATGCTAGATATATAACTACATAACAATTTTATAATATCCATGCAAATACCCCTTGAAAATTTTGCCTTTTTTTCTTCTATGTAACATTTTTTTTATCAAACATTCTATTCCTTTTTTATTTTTTATTTATTTTTTTATCAAACATTCTATTCCTACTAATTCTTGTGTTATGTATTTGCAATTCACTTTACCAGATTCATCCTCAAATGATGGGCTTATCACCTTGCTCTCGTGTGGCCTTACCTCATCAGCCAGCAGGAGAAGAACCCATATATGTCAATGCTAAACAATACAAAGCAATCCTCCGAAGAAGGCAGCATCGGGCAAAGCTAGAGTTTCATAATAAATCTTCAAAAAACCCACGCAAGGTACTCTTCTACTCTTTAATGAAAGATCTCTGTTCTTATCTGAAATATGGAATGAAACTTCATCTACATTTCATTGGTCTAGCCATATCTTCATGAGTCTCGACACCTTCATGCCATGAAGAGAGCTAGAGGAACTGGTGGAAGATTCCTAAACACCAAGAAGATTCAGGATGCTTCAGGACTCCATGATTTCGCAGGTTCTGAACCTCCGCAACCTGGCAGAACAGTAGGACTCCATAATGGCGCGGCGATCTCTTCCGCCACGCCGACGTGTTCGGAAATAACGAGCGTTTCAAACGATGGCGGGCAAGTGGTCAAGCTCCATTCTCAAGCCCACCTTGGTTTCACCTATGGTTGTGATGGTTTGTTCAACAATGGCACCAAGCTTCGGGTGCCGGTTGCGAGGTAGAGATGGGGAGGTCATCGTCGTGCCGATCTCCCGGCAATTCATCCTTGGCTTTAGTATTGTTTCCATGAGGCTTAGTTCTTCCTTGTTCCATTGGTGGTTAACTCTTGGAGAATGTATATATATGTGGGACCTTTCTATGTAGTTTTTGGCAAACTTTGTTATCAGTTGGTTGTGAACCAGAGATTGCAAGCGCTTCTTAGTTATATTTGGGACCAACGCTTACTAGTTTGTATTGCCTGGTAGATGTAACAGCCAGGGCAATCCCATGGCAAGCATTTTGGGATTAATTCAAGTTTTATTCTGTTCTCTTTTGGCTTTGTTGTTCACCACCTTTATTTATTTATTTTATTAAAAATTTAAATGTATTCGAAATGTATGTAGATTGTGTATTAGATATGTCAAGAATATCAATAATACTCCAAAAATGATCAATTATTAAACATAATCCGAGTAAAAGTTTATGCATACAACCTTATTTATTAGTTTTAGACTTTAAAATGAAGGGTAGAAAATAAAAAATAAAGTAAATAATTATTCAAGTATTAGATGGGGTATTTAAATAATATTAATAAAAATATTTTTGATAATAAGATTTTAGATCTTAAAATCTTGCATGTGCATGAGGAAGCTAATTTTATATGAGAAAAAATAGTTAGTGATATTAAGAATGTTGTAAAAGATATGTTTGGAGTATCAAACAAAATAATTACTAATCATAAAAATCGTTGATTGTGAAATCAAAATGTGCAAGAAAAGATAGAAAAATAAGAATATTTACTATAAAAATTAATTTAGCCGTACTAATTCTAATAATTGGAAAAGATAGAAAGTTTATGAGGCGTTTAAGAAAGCAATATGCGATGCAAATATTTTAGCTTTTAATGATTTTAATAATAGTTTAGATGCTAAGGAGGGCAAAAAATATATGTATAAGATAGATAAACAATAATATAGGAGTAGTAAGGATTTAGTTCAAGTAAAGTGTATTAAGGCCAATGAAGATCAAAAAGTGCTTTTATTAGAAGAGAATATTCAACAAAGGTGGATGGGAAATTTTGCTAAACTTTTCAATGAAGATTATCAGAATGCGATTGACTTTAGTGATATTATCACCCTAAATAAAAATAAATTTTTTTTTATCGACATATTAATAAAATCAAAGTTAAAGAGGCTTTAAAGAAAATGAAGTGTGAAAAAGCTGTTGGACATGATGATATTCCAATAAAGGTGTGAAAATGCTTAGGAGATAAGGAAATTTCTTGTCTTAATAAAATTTTTAATATTATTTTGAAGACTAAAAAGGTATCAGATGAGTGGAGAATTAATGTGTTGTTCCTATTTTAAGAATAAAGGTGATGTACATGGGTGGAACCACTACAAGCTTAGGGGGGGCAATTGCCCCCCCTCAAAAAAATTTTTTTTTTATAAGAGTAAAAAAAAAAAATTATAATAGAGTAAAAAAAATTTTTTGCCCCTCATAAAATTTTTTTTGCCCCCCCTAAAAAACTCTTTTATCCTATCTTGCCCTAAAATATCTATATATTTCTTCACATTTAGTTCTAATATTCTCTTTCATGCTTTTCATGACTGTTTAATTACATTTTTTTTCTTTATTTTTCTTGCTTAAAATTTTTTTAAAAAAACTTGTCGTAATATATAGATATATAATAATATTTTTTTAATATTTAATTATTTTTGTGTTGTATTTGCCCCCCCTCAAAATTGAAGCTGGTTCCACCCCTGATTATAGAGGAATTAATTTAATGCTTCATACTTTAAAACCACGGGAGAGAGTTATGGATTATATGTTGCGGCGTGACACTAATGTTTCTCAAAATCAATTTGGATTCATGCCAAGTAGGTCTACCATGAAAGTTATACATTTATTGAGAGGTTTGATGGAGAAGTATGAAGAGAATAAGGAGGGTCTACATATGATTTTTATTGATTTAGAGAAAGCATATGATAAAATTTTAAGAGAAATACTATGGAGAGTTCTACATAATAAAATGGTTAAGAATGCTTATATTCAAGTCATTAAGGATATGTATGCAGGAGATGTTACTTGTGTTCAAACACAATGTGATTTGATCAAGTATTTACCTATTGTAGTTGGATTACATCAAGGATCAGCCTTATAGCCCATATCTTTTTTTCTTTAGTCATGGATGTTCTCATTAGACATTAGTAAGAGGTTGTACCCTAACATATACTTTTGTTAATGATATTCTTCTTGTTGATAAGACTACATAGGGAGTTGAAGGCAAACTTAAATTATGAAGGTCAACCTTACGTACGGTCTAAAGACTTTCATTGTTGAGTAGATCTAAAATTGAATATATGGAGTACAATTTTATTAATAATAGATCTAGTGGAGGGATTGTGACTTTGGGTGATCAAGTCATTAATAAGAGTACATGTTTTAGATAACTTGGGTCTATTTGTAATGGCATGTATTTTAATTTTGTCAATTTTTTTTTGGAGTTATTATAACTCCAAATCACAAATCGCCTTTGCTATGATGTTGTTATTTTAGTATTTTACTTACACAAATTTTTTCGTGATTTTTGGGCACTAGTGAAAATCCTTAAGGAATTGGTACCGATCAGTACAAGTGAGTATTTCGAGACTATTAGGTGTTTGTTTTGTAAACCAATTTCACTGAAATTTTCTAAATAAACTAAATTATTTTAAAAAGATTTTTCTATAATTTTTAAGTGCTAAAATAATTTATTTGAATTTTCTATTAAAAATTTATTAAATTAAATATTATATTAATATAATATTATATTATATTAAAATATCCTAAGTCACTAAAATATTTTAAAAAGTTTTTTTTTCATTAATAGAGGCTTGGGTTTGAGATGATTTGAGAGAAATGAGAGGAGAGGGAAATTACAAGATAAGATTTAGATGCCACAGAACAATTTTTGTCTGTCGAGCCTGTTGGGAAAATTACTTGTCTCGTTATAAGAAACTTTTACTCGTCTCATTAAAAATATAAATTTTTGCTCAGTATGATTTTTATTGTCTATCGTTATTATATTTTGACATCTTCTTAATTAAACTTAATTATGTATTATTTATTGATTTATCCTCTGATTTATCCATTGGTTTGATACTCCATTGCATTGAAAATAGATGTGTGTATATATACTTGAGTAATAGCTGATCGATCGCTATTACTGTTACAGTATTGTGATAATAATATCATATGTGAAACAAATAAGTAAAGGCTGATTTATCCATTGGTTGAAGACTAATTGACCTTTACAAGATGGTGGATCGATAAACTTTCTTTTAAATACTATGATTTGATGTTATCCTCTATTAATTCTCATAATATACTGATTAGGAGTTATAAAGAGATCATTAATATGCCAAAGAGAAAAGAGTGACGACTCTATTTACTGAGTTAACAATTTACTAATACTGATACCAACACTAAAAAATATCGTGATAGTCAAATATTCTTACTTATTTAGTGTGATTATTAAATTACATGTTCTTGAGGTACTGTTCTTATTATTATATTGATTTATTATTATTGTACGAATTTATAATTATTGCATTATTCAACTGCTCCCACCACTGGATTGTTTGTATTACAGAATTAGATTCTAATATTATTTGATAATACTAATTCATTGTATTAATATTAAGCATGTGATGTATTGAGCACATGATATAGAATGTATGAATAGCATGTGTACATTTCTATATAATTTTATTACATTGATTTAATTTTGATAGTCTTTACTGATATTTTGATTTGATATTTTATTTCATTTATGTATTGATTGATATTACTGATACGATGATTATTTTATAGATTTGATACTCTTACTGGTTTCTTTCCCCAGCTTTTGTACCGTAGTATTTTACTGTTTACATGTTCTACGTTATTGCATTTAAGATTTATTATTTCTGTACTGATTCAATGATCATATAGATGCAACTGTTATGATTTGACTATTGACATGCATATTGCTTATTTGCCGCATTTTGATTTCAATTGTCGGTTTAGGTGACATGCTGGGCTTTGAAGCTCATTATCTGTTGTTAAATGATTTTAAATCAAGGCAAGAGAACAGAGGTGTAAGGTTGGTCAGGATTCTTCAGGTTATATATATTTTTTTATTTTTATTTTGTACTTAGGATATGATAAATATATGATGATTGTACAGATCCTGAATATTATATATGATTTTTGATTTTGAATATAAATGTGTATATTAATGTTTAAAATTATAAAATCTTCTTTGATGTTTATTACTAAAAGATAATATTAGATAGTCTGTTTATTAGAAAATAAGAATAATTATTCCAATTTAGATTTTGAGGCATCACAATATTGTTCATGGTGATGGTGAAATAGATGGGGATATTATTAGTTGAATTCAAGTTGGATAGTTGAAGTGGAGGGATGCATTGGGCTTGTTGTGTGATAGAGTCCCTCTCAAACTTAAGGGAAAATTCTATAAGATGGTAGTGAGACCTACAATGCTTTATGTTGCAGAATGTTGGCCATTAAAAGAGAAGCATAAAATTAAGCTAAGTGTTGCAAAGATGAGGATGCTCATGTGAAAGAGTGTCTTTACTCTTAGAGACATGATACAAAATTAGCATATACGTGAAAATGTTGGAGTAGTTTCAGTGGAAGATAAGATTAGAGAGTGTCATTTTAAATAATTTGATCACATAAAACGACGGCCTTTGGATGACCCTGTTAGAAAAGTATATGTATTAAATTTAACTTATGTTAAGAAAGGTAGAGGTAGAGTGCCTAAAAAGACTTGGTTATAAAATATTAGAAATGACATTTCTTTATTAGATTTAGAAGAGAATTTGACTCTTAATATGACACAATGGAGAAAAAAGATTCATGTAGCCAACTGCACATAGTGAGATAAATACTTGTTGTTGTTGTTGCAAGGAATTTTCTTGGATATCTTCATTTAAATATTCAGCCACATCCTTCTAATTTTACTACTACAATTATCATGAGTACAACTAAAATTGACTACTATTATTTCATTTTTTTCATGCTACATAAATAAACTTATACTCACCTTATCCATCATAACTAATGTTACACAAACAAAAACTACAAACCATTTGCTTTATGAATTAATAATTAATATTAACTTGAGTTAACCACCCTACAATTTTTCCTCACTTCTCCAACATTCCCAGTGAGTGGACTTATATTCCCCATCTTAACCATGGAGCTTCCAAACTGAGAGAAGAAGAGGCCGCTGTTGCTTCCATAGCTTTGAACAAGAGTTATTGTTGAAGTTGTCGTCGCAGCGTCGCCAGAGAAGAGGATTTGGTCAGAAGATAGTACTCCCTTGTTGTTGATGAGGTTGTTGAAGTAGTGGTTGTCGAAGAAATCGATGGAGCTCTGATCAAGTGGCGTTGTCACATTACCATCACCATTCAGAGGGCATAAGCTTTGGAGCTGAGAGGCGAGGGAGGAGTCAAGGGTAGGGTCGGCAGCGCCAGTGCCAGAGAAGTTGAACAGACGATTGTTGAAAAGTGCACATCGAGCTCGGCCAATTGTGTGTGCACCTTCAAATTTTTAGTTATTTTACATATGGAACATGAGAGTAGTAAAGGATTTGATCCAAAATATTTCGGAGAACTTATTACGTGCAGATGATATACATATAAATATATAATGTATAATTGCTAATGTAATTGGAAAAAAGTATAGTAGTACACAATGAATACACAACTCCGATGAGTTATGTATCCACACCTAGGGGTGTCAATTTCGGGTCACGGGTCGGGTTTGGGTCGAATCCGAAACTGATCCGGCACTATTCGGGTCAACCCGAATCCGACCCGTTTTTAAAAACATGTCGATTTTTCAGACCTGAACCTGACCCGCTTTGGGTCTGGGTCAACCTGACACGACCCGAATGACTAGTTTCCAACAAAAAAAATTGCTAATTTTCGGGTAAAAAATTGGTCAATCTCCTCTTTTTGGGTCAAAACTAGGTCAAAATCGGGTCAATCTCAGGTTGTCGGGTCAAAATCGGGGGTTCGGATTGAAATTGGGTCAATTTTGGGTCAAAGGGTTAACCCGAATCCAACCCGATTTTTGAAACTGGTCGAAATGTTGACCCTGAACCTGACCAGTTTCGGGTTCGGGTTGACGCTAACCCGAAATTTTCGGATCGGATTCTCGGGTCATGTCAAATATTGACACCCCTATCCACACCTAACAAATCACCATGAGTCACACTGTAAAATACCTGATAAAGTGACCACATCGGTGGTGCTGAGGCCAACAGCAGCAAATTTAGATATGATTACGCCAAGACTATCAAAAGGACTAGGGAGCCCATTGGCTGCACCAGTCTGGTTTGATACCAAGCCATCCCTTCTTCCAAGAAGAACTGTCCATGGACGTCCTCCACTCTGATGAGTTATTATTAATGATACCAAATTAAGAGTTAAGTAGCTAAGATTTTGTTTGGGCAACTTTCATATTGCTTTCTAAAACAGTTTTCTAGTACAAAAAATTCAAATTTGAAGAAATTTTTGTACTAAAAAACTGTTTTAGAAAGCAAGATAAAAACCATCCTAAACCAAGCCTAAATCACAAGCTGAGTACTGAGTTTTGGAAGAACTTATTTATATACCAGAAGAACTGAGTCTCTCGCAGATATGGCAACTATATCAGCACAGGAGACTATTCCATTGCATTCATTCTCAACTGCAGCTTTAATGGTGTCTATGACTTCAAATCCTCTTGCAGAATTTAGGTTAGGAGGAGCGAATTTTTCGCTGTCACTGCCGTCTAAGAGGATTGATCCATCGCAGCCCTGTGAGAGAGAAAAAATTATATGTTAACATGCTGAGATGATGTCCATGATGTAGTTATTACACAGTAGCTTTTGATTCTTAATTGAAAAAAAATTCTATTCAGAGCAAATTTTAGCATTGGATTTGTTTTGAGATGAGTGTATTATATATAGAGAATAAATCAAAATATATATTGCACTAATCTTAAAGAAAATTTAATGATTATAAAATTCATCATCATAAAAAATTTACAAGAATTATTTTCTTAGATCAACATCTTCTATTATGAAATATTTAGGGTTTACCAAAAGCTTATGCATTTAGAGATTGTGGGAAGTTTAAGATAGTGAAAGAACACTCAAAAATTATTTTTTATTTGGATGAGTTATTTTCCTTTTTAATTTTTATGGACATTTTTAATCTATTTATTCATGTCTAAATTTTTATTTTATGTTTCAATTTTCTTAAAATTAATAATATAATAACCTAAATGTATATATTGATAATTATTGAGTTTTTTTAATGGAAAAATTTAAGTTTTATTTGGGACGACTTTCTTACCTTCTTGAAGTAGTTTTTTAGTACAAAAATTACTAAAAAGTTGCTTTAAAAAACATAATTTTTTTTACTAGAAAATTACTTTAAGAAACAGTAAAAAAATCATCCCAAACTAAGCCTTAATCAGATTATTAAATTTTAGAGATTTTTTGAAGAACATTTATTTCAAACAATATTAAAAGACACAAAGAAAACTTACATTCACGAAGCAGTCATGAAAGTGCAACCGAAGAAGGGAAGCTCCCATCCTCATTTCATTCTGAATAGCTTTAAAGACTTCTCTCCACACCACTTTAGACAAATTAGGGCAACTGCTCGCATAGTAATCAGCTCTCAATTGACCTTTACCCCTCAAACATAAACAAAACAAAACTGTCACAGCCAAAAACCAAATGGAGCTCTTCATATTCTTTCTGTAAGTCTCTCTCTCTCTCTCTCTCTCTCTCTCTCTCTCTCTCTCTCTCTTTCTTTTTCTATATAGATAGTTGAAGGCTGAAGGGAGAGCTTTTATAGAAGAACAAACACTGAAAGAAGACCAATATGGCTGTATGAATGTCTTCAAGCTTATCTGCTTGTATAGTGGGCGGCGGCCGGCCAACTCAACGTGGGTGCGCATAAACCCTAGCATGGTGTGATTCTTTTTAAGGTTTTAGGGTTTTTATAAGGCGCATGGATTGTAAGAGATATTATAAGAAAGTGGGTTGGAGATGGCCGGATTCAGTGGTTTGTCTTTTACCTTGATATTGGTTCGTGGAGGTTGCAATGAAGCTCACTAGCTTGCATGGTGGAGTATTTTGCTTGGTGAAAGAAAGGAAATGAGGACAGCTGATTCTATTTGACTTGAAGGTCAATGGCCATTTCAGAAAAGGATTGATTTTTTATATTGGGATGGCTCCCCCATTGGAACCAATTATTCATGCTAAATGTTAAACTAGTTTGAATTAGGTCTTGGCCCAGTGATTCATACCTCCACTTTTATTTTGAGGTCATGAGTTTGATCGCTATTCTCCATTCTTTTGCTATTTCGAGCGCCCCCAGAGTTATGTACTCGAGCCCATCCCCTAGCGTTGTGTTCCTGAGCGCCCTGGTGTTACAATCTTTGACGGAAGAAACTATAGATAATAGAGCACCGCAACGCTGCCGCTTTGCGTGTAGCATCGTCAGACGACGGATTGAGAACAAAGGCTTATGCATTTTAAAGCTTCAAACTGTGTGTTGTGCCGCAACGCTATGGGTTTGAGGGCTACAACATTGTTAGACAGATCAAGAACAGAGGCTTATAGCGCCACAATCCTCCAAACTGGCGTTATAACGCTTTGAGGCGGACTGGACAGTTTTTCTTTATTGTTTTCTAAATGGTGGGGTGCCTTAGTGTTATCTAGTATTTCTCTTTTGTTTTGAGTGTGAGAACAATGCAAGAGAGAAGAGAAGCAACAAGAGAACAAGAGAGAAGAGAGGTATGTACTTATTTCTATCATTTTCATAGTGGATTTCTAGGTGTGGTGGGACTGTGATTTTTTCCCGATTTCGATTTTTTTCATATTAAATTATGATGTCCTTTTACTTTCCATTGCTTTTACTTTCTTGTTTGTTTCGTCGCGGCATTTACTCCATTCCCCAACACGTTTTATGTAACTCCTCTTATGCATCCTTTTATATATATATATTTTTTTATTTTTTTTTTATTTTTTTTTTTACTTCATAATTTTGTCATTAATATGCATCCTTTTATATATATAATATGCGACACACATTCACTTTGTTAAAAGGAAATTAAATAAATTAAGCTATGCATGACACCTATTTTTACTATAATTCAGGGCTTTCTTTGGAGTCGAGTTATATATTTCGTGCACGAAAGTTGGCGCAGCCATGACTGATTGCACTTACAGAAGTGCGCATGCATGATGAAAACTTTGCACGCACTTGAAGCAATCACATGCTTATATGGGTAATGGGCATGCATAAATAATTATACTTCTTCTGCAGAGAACTCGCTAGCTGGGTTCCATTACACTGCGCATGGAGCTTAGGGCCAATAGAAATCTCCTTTAATTCTCCCAATTCATCTAATTGATCTACTTTATATGAAAAACAAAGTGGATTGTGTTACGTATCAAATTCAGATGCATCTTATTGTAATAACCACTGTTATATTACCATTTGTGGCGATTTTAGTTGTTACAAATATTTTAGAATTGTAACGGTTTAAATCGATGCTAAAATTAATGTTTTGATATTTGATCTCTTTACCCGACAGCTTCAAAACCACCACGAAAGATATTTGCAGCGGAAGACAACTACGAAGGTCCTACGGTGGTTTTGAACCTTATTAAATCCTTTTGTGACCATTAAAACCACAACCATCTCCATATATATATATATATATATATATACTATGATGCACAAATAAGGACAAGGCGACACGGATACGACATGACACAGACACAGGACATGTCAGTTATTGAAAATATAGGACTCGGACACGGTATTATAGTATTTATATTTAAAAAATAGTATATGAAAATTAAATAAGTATAATTTTAAAAATAATTTGAAAATAATAAGTTATTTGACTAGAAGTTGTGCTTAAAATGATTAGCATTAGGATGTCAAGAATATGACGTCGATGCCGTTTATCAGTCATCGAGAGAGGAGATGAAAATAACTTCACTGTCAAAAAGAAATAAAAATGAGAATATTCGATGATTGGGTATTAAGTGCGGATATTCATTTGGTGTTATTGATAGGAAATAAGAAATTTAGTTTAAATCCTGCCAAATACAAGACATTATATTTAAAAAAATTTATAAAATATTTAAGATATGTGTGTCGGACATGCGTGTAGTCCAAATTTAATATTTTTTAATCGGACACGTTTTCGGTTTGTTCGACACGTGTCGGAGGAGTGTCGTGTCGGGACACTGCACGTCTCTTTGAGGAAAAGTGTCGGTGAATCATAGTGCATATATATAATCATATTGATTTGATGAATTATAAAGAAGAATATTTTTGAATTAGTGTTCAACATAAATTGATAGAGATGGGATCACTTTCTCATTCCAGTGGTAGTTCTAGTAAGGGATAGAACCGGCCTCTATTTTGAGAGTGGATAAAATATGATTATGAAATGAATAATCGTATAAACAAAATTATAATTTTTTTTTTCTTAGAATTTGGTTAACTATATTTGTTGATGGTGGGCAATAGTTAAAAATATTATTTTTCAAAGAAAAATAAAAGATTTTAGGGTGGAAAATTGCTCACCCGGAGCTCTTTCTGGTTATGATTTGCATTTGCTAGATTTTGGCTGCCCTTTTGAACTTCATTATGATGCTTCCAAGCAACGCAATGGCACTGTCGTGAGCCGTGGCAAACATCATCTCGCTTGCTTCAGTGCCAAACTTACTGAAAAACCTTTATTGAGAAAGCATAGCAGTATATGCAAAATACAAGTTGATGAGGTCAAGTGCGATTCCTCTGAAGGCACTAAAACCTCCCTTTAGTTTATTATGTTTCTCCTTCAAAATATTAACCACAATGCATGATATAAAGCTTAGCAAGGTGTCTGGAGTTGCAAGGCTCAAGCTGATCATAAATATGGTTGCACACTTTTCAGTAATTAAATATTGTAGAGAATAAACAAGTGTCAAGAACCACACCATCTACCTTTCCAACATGGAATATTTTTTTTGGAACGGGGGTATCTACTTTTTGCCACACCCCTTAGGAGGTGCTTGACGGTGTAACTAATCCCTTGGCAAGCCTACGAGCCACTAGGCCCACAGGTGCAGGACCCGCAATTATTTTCTCCCCACTTAAGGGGGTCGTGCCGCATGAGAGGGGATTCGAATATGGGTTGGGGGTTCCCAACCATGCTCACCCACCAACCTAGCTAAGCCCGACGGGGTTAAAGGGAACTAGAGAGTGAAGCCAAACATAGTCGTATTAGTGACTTGTATGGAAGAGAAGAAAGAGAAATTTTCATTAAGCATTTGAATATTTAGATGTCGGGGTTTCTGCAACTGAAATAGTAATGATTTGGTGAGTTAAGAGGTCTACTCCATTGTATATAAGAGATTGAGGCAGGATCTTTATGTAGGGATTACAAATGAAACCTTATATAATCAGCACAAAGAAGAAAAGAGAGATAGAAGAATGAGCAACAAAGAAATAGAGCATAGTACATGTTATATTTTATTCAAGAAAAATTTAAATTTACTCTTTCATAGAGCATAGTAATTGGTCAATCTTGTTATAAAAGTTAGAGAGGTCTTTCTTAGTGTACTTTAGAGAGTATATGCATTAAAATATTAGAGGAGATAGCAGAGATATAGATTGATAGCTAATAAATACATACAAGAATTTGTGTGATTAGCGGTGTCAATACCGGGTCACGGGCCGGGTTTGTGTCGAACCCGAGCTGACCCGAAGGTAAACGGGTTGACCCGAACCCGACCCGGTTATGGATACGGGTCAATATTTAGGACCCGAACCAGACTCGAGTCGGGTTCGGGTCAACCCGGAATGACCCGCTGACCCGAGTTATTTGCATAAATAATAAAATTTAAAGGGTAACGCACAAATTTAAACAGCAAAATCTACACAGAAAAATTTATGGAAAAACAGCTACATAGAAAAATTTAAATAGAAACTTGTATAAATAAAAATTTTATTTAGGAATCAAAAATAATTTGCTAATTACAATATACAAATTATACAAAATATTAAACTTACAAAATTATACAAAATATTAAACATAGAAATTTCAAACCATGATTACAATTTACAGAAATTTCAAACCATAATTACAATTTACAAAAATTTCAACTCCTTGACGTCTTGTCCCTGCGGCCTGACCTCATGGAGATATAAGCTAACTATAAAAAAATATAAACAATTAAATAGATATAATTTTAAATCCATGAATTAGTTGAAAGCTTGAGTTATTAGCTCAGATTAACCCTCCAAATAATTCATTATTCAATGAAATGTGAGTCAACAATATAATTTTTTACGGTTGCGGACTTGCGAATTGAGATATTGCCATCCAAGGCGGCAATTTGTATTTTATACTTAGTATTTGTTTGATTAACCCTCAAAATGCCACCTGGTTGCAATAACTTTTTTCCCACAATTGACTTCACAATAAGTTTAGAAGGGTACTCATCATCGCTATTCAACTTTCAATCCTTTCGGAACCAACCAGCAACAACACAACCAACCAACATCCCTGGGCTTCTTGAAGCACCCAGCAAACCATCAACATAGCCAACCATCAACACAGCCAAACAGAAATAACAACAAACCAATCTCCCTGCCAACACAACCAACCAATCTCCCTGCCAACACAGCCAAACAGAAATAACAGCAAACCCAACTACCCAGCCAACCATCCAGAGAAACC